GAGGAGGATACTCTGCAACCTCTAAAATACCTTAAGAGTTGCAAGAAAAGGAATAATCCACTCTTTCCAAGAAGAATAAGACTCCAATATTGTAAGAAAAGAAGTATCAATTTAGAGGAGGGTAATCCGCAATCTCTAAAATGCTAGTACACTTCTAAGCAGAGGAGTAATCCACACTCTAACGAGAAAGAAACTAGCTTTGATATCTCACATGAGTGAAGTCTCGACAAACTCTCACGGACACAAAAATACAGACTCCAAATCTAACAAGAAATTCAAGAAGAAATGGCAAGAAGTAGATTAATCAAATGAATACAAGAACAACACCAGAGAGGTGAACTAGAGCTCCAAGAGATGTATTGTCGAGACTAAAGAACTCTTCAGCCTCGATTCCAATATATACTCATATTAAGGAAGCTTCTCAAGTAACTTCTACCAACTAGGAAGCTTCAAGAAGATTCTAAAATATTGTCTCTAGAAGGTTCTAAGGACTATGTCCCTAACATCTTATACCGACTACGAAGCTTCTAAAAGGTTCTAGAGACTTGCTTCTAGAAGGTTCTAGAAACTAGTCTCTAAAAGGTTCTAAGTACTATATCCCTAACACAGGATAGCTGCGATTATCTTAAAAGATGGTACAATTGATATTTTGGAGGCTCTTGTAATTACTTTTGAAAAAGAGGCCATTCAAATTAGAAAGTAGAATGCATTGTTATTTGATTCAAAGGCTCTAAAAGCTCTAGAGATTCTAAAGGCCTTGAAGGCTTCGAAAGCCTTGAAGGCTTCAAAAGCCTCGAAGACTCAAAAAAATGCTTTAGTGGCAATCATCCATATTAGTACTAACATAGCATTTATAGTAGTATAAATCATAAAGATGACAATGGAAATTTTTTCTACTCAGTGTACCTCAATTATGCAAGCTTCTCTAGTCCAAATTTAGGCAAAAAAATAAACCTTGCAAGTTGGTGTGAGCTCCTTTTCTATAGCTACTCTAATAAGAGTTTTGATTAAGAACATTTTTATATTCAAGTTCATAGAAGTTGGGCTTATATACTCCCTTATAGCTAAAATGCATAATTTTATGAACTAGACATATTTCTCTTTTTTAGCAATTTTCTACATGATATATATTATATTATAATATTTTTTTTTATTATTATTATTATTTTTGTATTAACAAGTTAGAACAAATAAACGAATAGAAATGTATTTTGCATTATGCCTCTATAGTGGATTCACCTCCTTGTTGTAGACCTACCAAAAAAAAATGCGAGTCCTGAACATCTCCTCTTAATCCTATACCATTTCAAAGTAGAATCGATATGTCAAGGCTTACTTAGAGGTCATTTTTGAATTTGCTTATGCATTCTTCTATAATGCACCTATATTCTTTTTCATGCTTGAATCACAAGCCATTTGGATAGATGTGCAAATGTATGCTTTAACATACGAGTTTTGGATTTTCAAAGATTAGTTGGCTTCATTGATGAATGTTATTGTCTCATTATGTTTTTTGAAATTAGCCATGGATTTAAACTCTTTTTGTTGTTTTTACTTCTAACATTCCTATCTCCTTCAAACATACCACTTCGATATCTTTTTGCTTCTTCATAAGATGGAACCATCTCTATAGTTTACTTTCAAAGAAGACCATGAATTATCCAATGATATATATATCATATTGAGGGTGATGATATCTGATTCAACTTCATAGCGAAGGAGACACAAGTTATAAACAAAGTTGTGCCATAGAAAAGAAGTCAGGAGAAGGACCTTATTTTTAAGTAAATTCTTCTAGAGGCCATTATCAAGTCGTGTGCTATTATTGTTGGAACCATTATCTCTACATATACTCCTAAATCTTCACTTTTTTATATTTTTTTTCTTTTAATTTTTTATTTTAAATTTATTCTAAATTTTTTTTGCTAAATCCTAGAGATATCTATTTATTCTTGCTGTTGTTTTGGTTGCCGCCTAGTTGCCTTTGAGAAGGACCATCTCATCTTCTTTCAACTGCACAATTTCTTGCTGCAGACTCTGAACTTCTTCCATAGTTGTAAGCATAGTACCTCCATGATTCACATTAGAAATACGTAAGATTTCTACTTTTAGAGTGTTGACAAGCTCATGAAGATCTATAATAATTATAAATCTCTTCTCACTTTGGCTAAGAATAGCATTCATAATCTTTCCTTCCATAGACAACTCAAAAAAATCCAAAATATTAAATTAGAGGAAGGTAATCTACAACTTCTAATAAAAATTTCCACAAAGAAGGATAATCCACTGTCTTTAAGAAAATGATCAGTATTAGAAAACAAGATTTTTTGTCTAAAGGTGAATAACTAGCAACCTTCAAAATATAACAATAGAAGTGGAATAATTCACTCACTTCTAAAACAAGATAAAAATAATATATTAGCACTCTTGTCAAACTATCAAAGACATGAATCTCAAAAAAAAACCTCCGCGGACCCCATACACTCCAGCGCGCTATAGAACGGCTACCAACGCCCCTACTCATCATCCACGGCTGCTATCACCCCTCTGATCTCTGCTCCGATCGCCATGCGCCTTCTTCCAACCATCAAAACCTCCAGGAAGCCTGTCGTCGTATATACCCCTGTCCACTCTATTAGCCCGAGTATCGGCACAATAACACATCAATATCAAAGGAGTATCACCTAGATATTAAACTATTCCACTCGTGTTCCTGTTGAGTGAGAGAGATAGCATTGCGTTTTGTGCTCACTGCGCGTATGATGCATTGCATCATACGAGCATGCTCGTAGGATTGAGGGAATGTTGACTGGAATTTTCTCTGCCTTGAAGCCATTAAAATCGAAGCTCAAGGATCTCTCCTGAATGCTCTTTTTTGGGGCTTTTTAGCACTTCGGAGTCTCTTGGTCCCCTCTTTGAGTGTGTTTCTTGAATCCAACGTACGATGTGGTAAGTGAAGTTCTAGTTCGTTTATGAGGTGACTTGCTGCTTTGAATTGGATTATAGAGAGGTAATATGTGTGCGGCTATGCTGAGGAGAAGTCTTTTCATGCTTAGGATTTTGCCAGATGGAATGTTGACTGGAATTTTGCCAGATATTATGAATCCGTGACTGTGAGTGAATAACTGGATTCGTAAGTATCGAGCTGTTTCTTTCGACAGCTCCTTTTACGTGCTCCTTTCAAGTACTTCGGTGATGTTTCTCGAGTCTTCATCAGTTGCATGTATTGTTTGAACTTCGCACGATGATTGAACTGATGTCATTGGAAAGGTCTTAGTTCTGCTTTGTTGCATTGTCATTTTACTTTTTCCAATAGTAGCCTCTTGTTGCGTTAAGTGATAATTTACGCGGCCTCCATCGATAGTAGTTTCGATTAGCACCGAGTCATTTGGTAGTTATAAGCTAGGGATTCTCTTGTATCTCATACGTTGCATTCATTCCCTCTCGATGCAATTTGTATGTTATGCTTTCCAAATTTATGCGCAGGTATTCACGTATTCACTATTTAGGTAGTCCGGCACCAGAGTCCCAGTCTAGGACATTTCACAACTATAGATGCGCTAGAGGCCGCTTTCTGTATTTATTATGTATACGCCACAAGATGGAGTGCAGGAATGACGTTTGCCAACGACGTGATTAGCAGAGAGTGATTTTAGGGTTTTCGATACTCTGCGGTAACTATGGACTGGAAGAATAATCCGGTATACGAGTCGGAAGGTGGTGGATCAACATAATGAGTTGAGACGGAGGGACTGAATGCTAAACTTGCATCATTCCAGGTATTAAACAATTTCTAATTCTATCACGCATTTGATATTGATTACCTGAATCTCTAGTGCACCCTCGTCTTTTGTCTGCGTTTATAAGTTGTTGAAGAACAATAGCTCCTAAAATTTGAGGTTTTGGCACCGGTGAGAATTGCAGAATTTTTGTTCACAGATTTGTTTCTTACTTTGCAGGAGCTTGAATTCAAAACATCAAATCAATCTGAAGAGGCAGAGAGCTTATGATCAGAGCTAAAGCATGTACAAGAAGAATTTGAGGGCAATCAAGTCACAATCTATCGCTTTGAGGAGAGACTTAGAGAAGGCCGAAGAAGACAAGTGAAATGCACAACAACAGATTGATTAAGAGCATGGAAGAGGAAGAACACGTGGAAAATTGCTGAACGAGATTGATAGCGTGCCATCGAAGCCGCCGAGAAAATAAAACTGAGGCAAGCGCTGAAGAAAGGGAAAAGTTAGAGACTCAAAAACTGGTTGCAGAGAGAATGACAGCAGTCGATCGAGCTTCAGCTCTTTCAATGTTGCAGATTTATATCATGCAGGGACAGATTGATAACCTCCAGCGCCACCTGTTCAGAGTGCACAATCACGAAGTAGCTCTAGAGACCCGACTAGTCCGGGGTTTTACGCACATTTCACCTAGGAAGTCACCAATGGGCCCCACTCGTATTAAAAGAACCTTCCAAGTCGCAGGTGTGTCTTTGCTGCTTCGCCATAATTTCACTCTGCTTGTCAACTTCAACTGGTTGAATTGATTGAATTGAGTCTAGTGTAGGATAGTGATGAAGAATTGGAGGCTATTTTGAACAGTTCTGGGACAGTCTCTTGCTTGGAAAGTGTACATTTATTAATGGTTTTGATGTGCATGAACCAAGAACGGAGACCCCTGAACAAGATATGTCATCAACATGGATAAGTACATCAAAAAAAAAAATCTTGTAAAAATTGGTTCATATGGTTTATAAATATGAGCTTAAAATAAAAAATAAATGAAATTTTATTTCAATATTTTATTATAATACTAATTTTGGAAGGAAAGATGCTCAAGGCCTCTAGAAAGAATAAAGTATGTAGTATCGTTTTGGCACCACGATCCAAGATTCCAAGGATCCCTCTTTCGAAAAGGGCAGGGCCCAACAAATTGAAGGGAAGAGAAGACTTGCTGAGTTCCATGCATGAATGTAAAAATAAAGGGAATGTCAGAATTCCACACCGTCTACCAGATTTTAGTTGTATCACGATGCATCAGAACATTACGGCCAACGCTTCGCGGCTGTTTCTGGTTGAATTCTTGGCTCGACTGTCTTAATTTCTGATTTGAGGTTTTTGTGTCAGATCAGTAATTAGGCTTTGTACGAATTGCCACCCCGATTTTAGAACTCGGTGCATTCCATTCTTGGCTTTGGGTCTGCCACTCTCGGATGGCTTGGGTTTTCTCTTCTTCCTTGTGCTAGGGTTTCCGTTTTTCCGTGCGCTAGAGTTTAGTGTTTATTTTGCTCCTTCCAAGTCTGCTGTTTCGTTTCGTTAGGTCGCTTCGTTGATGGGCGTGATTGACAAGAATGACCCTGGCAGAGGTAGGGAACCTTTCTCACGACGGGCAGTTCAATCGCTTGACCTCAGCTTGAGCGCTCTCTTCTGTTCTCTTACCACCCTTGCCTTCCGCCTACCGGTAAGTTATTCTGTCTCCGTTGAGCTCTTCAGTCATCCACAGGTATCGTATTGTTGTCCAGTTTCTTTTCCTCTTGTAATTCCAGCGCCGGTTTGCTTTTCCGGGTGTCGTTGATTTCTTGGCCGGGGTCAGCCGCCCCTCCGTGTTTCGTGTTTCTGCGGTAAATTTCGAGTCTTTATGGTGAATGTCAGGGTGATTACTTATGTTGTTGGATTATTAGTTGTGAGGCATGATTCGGGAGAGTTTAGAAGTGGCTGTCGTGCGCGCCATGAGCTTTGATTGTGGTTTGGCAGCTGATTTTACTCTTTCTGTTTGTTGTCTCTATAGGGGTTTGTTTTGGCTGAGCGGAGTTTTGTATGCATTTCGAGCACTGCTCGCGTTTGCGTGTGACAGCGTTCTAATGAATTGCTGCTGAGGTTGCACGTTACAGGAGGTGGTCACGTAGGCAGCATAGGCGTGCTGAAAGGGTCATGCGCTTTACAAGACAATGGATACCGAAATTGAAGAGGTGAAGCAAGAGATCAGGAAAGTAGAGCAACAGATCGATGCTGTGGAAGAACAACTGACGAAGGCTGTCACAGAGGCCGATGTCGCTTACTGGCGGAAAGAGAAGGAGCAACTGAGGAAAAAGGAGGAGCAACTGCGGAAGAAGGAGGAGCAACTGCGGGAAAAGGAACTGCTGCTACTCAACGCTGATACTTCAGGTGAAATCACTTGTCCTGACACTTATTGCATTATCCACTTGATTATATCCACTTCTTCCCTTTGGCCAGGGTTCCTATTAGTATCTCGTCCGGTTCATATTTTCGGGCGAGGGTTTAGTTCATGGTTATGGAATTAGGGTTGGCATTGGGGTAGCACCTCCTACCGGTATGATTCTCCTTCTTAACTTGGTAGCTTAATCAATACCTTAAGCCCTGAAGTATGCATTCTTACAAGCTCCTGCTCCTGGTATGTTTTTTTTTTTCAGCAGAACAATTAGGTTTTCTTGTGATGGCTTGTTCGATGCTTTATTCCACGTCTGATAAGGTCTGTTGTTTTCAAGGTTTCTGAACCTTGTGGATCTATTGAAACTCATTGGGTAAGAAATGTTGTTCTTGGTCTTACTGATTCGCTCTCTAGGGCTCTCTAGTTTTTGCTCAATGCCTGCATTTATTTTTCCCCACCCCCTTGTCCTCTTCTTCTTCTGGTACTTCTTGGTCATGTAGGTTATGCAAGTACACAGGGAAGTACACATTCCAATTTTATTCGATGTTTGTCATTCAGAGACACGTGCTTGTATTGGATGGTCTTGCACCATTGTTGAATTGGCTGCGTTGCACTGTTCATACTTTGCGCCTGAAGGTCTGATTGTTTTATCACAGTTGAGGAAGCCGTTGATTTATGCTTTTTGTAAACAAGTACGTTCCAATTTTTTCCTCCAGGTTAACCTATTAAGGGTTGTAGACGTGTCTGCATGGCACCTATTAATTAGTTCTCGAACTTATGGGTAACTGGTGAAGGTTTTCTTTATGCAGCCACGCTCCCTCCCTCCCTCTGTTTGAACTCATGGTACTTAACCTCAGCCGATTATTAACCGATAAAGGGTTACTGATGGCTGGTATTTAACACACTCCCCCAACTCACCTGACTTCGGCCTTTCTCTTGCTGCCACGTTACGTCTCGGTAGCTGTGCCTTAATGCTGTTCCAGCTATATATACCAAGCCACCACCCTTTCTTCTTCCCTGTGGTTACTGGACGCGTTGAGGTGGTCGGTGTGGAACTCTATACCTTGGGGGTTTTCGTTTCTGGAGGGGACACTACTCTTTCACAATGGCTACATAGGTTTCCGAAACCATAGGTAGTCTGGCCTGCTAATTTATGTGCTTATTTAGGCTCGCATCTCTATGTATGTTTACTTATTTTGTGGTTTAAGCAGCTGCTCAACAGGATGCACTGGACCCTTTCCGGAGGTTATTAGTAGAAGCAAGAGTGGACGTCAGGATTCCGGAGGTCACTGAACTGAAAGGTTACTTGCTGCATCCGCCACGTATGGCATTTCCGGTTTCTCACCGACGCTACTTTCAGTGGAAGAGCTATCTGAGTAAAGCAGACAACTTTATTTGTCATGACCCTGCACGAGGCGTTTGCTGGAATTTGGATGACCACCTTGGGATTGTGTTAAGGCCTCCAGCTACAGGCTCTACAGAAAGTTCTTATCATGCTTATTGGGATTGTCTTGTTACTGAGCCAATATCCCTGTTCTCTTTGGAAACACTTGTCTTTGATAGAGACACCTCAAGGTTTAGTTCATCCGAGAACAAGCGCCCAGACAAACTTGGGATGGTTTCCAGACTCGCACTTTGGCGTGGCGAGGAGAAGGGGCCAGATACTGAAGATGATCCCAAACAAGAATTGGTCAGGAAGCTGATCTGGACGTATGGAAACCTGCCCTATCTCCTGTGTTATTATGCCAACGCAGCGATCGTTACTTACTGTGCACTAGTGCATGATGCTAAGCGATGTAAGACTGAGGTGGTGGATTTGATCACTGTCAATCTATCTGTTGTAGAGGACAGGTTGCTGGCATCGTTGATAGGCTTCAACATCAGCAAGCTGCTAATGCGCCTGTCTGAAGCTGGAATCGTGCTGGGAGTTGAGTCTGACTTTTACGATTATCGCACTGACGGAAAAACTGTTTTCGTGGGGACTGGTGTTGACAAGATCTACAGAGATAAGCGTACCTTTGAGAAGGTGTACCAAATATATAAGAGCATCAAGGATTGCCCCAATGCAGAGCAGGTGCTGAAAATTAATGCAGCCGATCGTAGATTCCGAATGATACCCCGGTGTCTTGTGAAAAGCCGGGCGAGACCTGAAGATGAACTTTTGAAAGCATTGATCAATGTTGCAGAAGCACTGGTCTGGTTGCATGGAAAAAATCTAATGCATCGAGATATAACTTGGCGGAATGTTCTCAGAAACACTTCAGGTACCAACTGGGTTTTAATTGATTTTGATGAGACTGCTGCTACTCCCTGTGGTCACGCTCACGGACTGTGTGTTGAAGCTCACGCCCCTGAGATGAGCAGAGGTCGTCATGACTCGAGTGTAGACATATGGGGCATTGGGCATTTGATCAGGAGTAGCGGGATAAATGGTTTGTCAGCGGGTGTTCGAGAGTTGCAAAGGGATTGCTTGCAGACTGACGCTTCCAGAAGACCAAATGCAGAAACTTGCTTGGAGAGATTAAAATGTCTCCGTAGAATGACTAACATGAACTTACACATGGACTTCGAAAGCTGTTGAACCTGATGTGAGGGATACTGTGATTCTGGCATTATGTTGTTGAAGCAGATAAGGATGACCTATCATGTGGGAATGAGATCTTATTTGCAAGAATCCTACGTAGAGCCGCATCCGGCATTGTTGGCTGAAGGCGCCTATAGTGCTCCATCTTCTCAAGTTTCATGCAACTTTTGAGAAAATAGCTCCAGGGGGGATGAAGTCTGAAAACTCCGCAATTCTGATCATTACCAAGGGAATTGCTTCGTTAAAACAAACCTCTCGTGCTTGTGCTTCAGATTGGAAAAGTGGGATGTGCCCACGCAGAACCGAAGAACAACCGAAGAGGGTTTGTTTTTGACACCTTTTTTGGCAGGTTTCCGACATTTTATTATATTTTTTGGGAAATTCTCTGACATATGACTGTAGAAATTTGGAAGGATTTCGCTTGCTTCGGTTTCGACAATTGTTTAGACACACAAGTGACTAAATCAATGTCGAACTAATTTTTCGACACTTTAATGTCGATAACTTCATCTACAATTTGTCAATGTTGGGAAGTCTGTCAAAACGAAGTAAACAAAGTGGATGTTCCAGAAGGTGTCGACTTAATTCTGTGAAAACAAGGGTCCAGAACCTCGTACTGCAAAGCAAGTTGAAAAACGAATCTGAAATTCTGGCAAGTAATAAACCCAACGCAGTAATGAACTTCTTGTTGTAAACTATGCTGAATATGACGTCGATACGTGCGTCAATATGTTTATGTCACTGCAGCTACTAACAGTTCACTGGTCCAATAACGCATTGGACGTAAGAGTCCTCCGAAGCATACGCCCCCTTCCTACCAGGAGGTAGACAGGAGCTCGTGGTGGCTTGTAAACGAGGGTTTCAACCACAGAAAGGTGGTAACCACCGAACCTACATGGCATCCCACTTGCCAAGTGAGTTATTTATAGTGGTGTAGAGGTGGTGTAGTGGTGTAAAGGTACACTCCATAACTTCGTTGCATGCCATGGGTATTAGAAAAATGTATCTAGTAGCTGAAGTATGGACATACTAAACTAATCTACTAATAAGTGATTATTGTGCTTCTACAGTTGATGTAAATGTTTTCATCCATAATACTGTAGATATTTGCCTTCATTGTTTGAAATAGCTTGATTTGTGACATATCCGTGTGAAATCTAAGAAGATTTTTTGACTGCATGGTAGTTAGTGCGTTGCAGCCTACCTCTTGGTGCAAAAGTTGTTGAAGTACAATAGGAGTACAAACAAGATGCATAAGTACATGCAATAGATAGAGTATGCATACAATGCTCGGAGTGAGAGAGATCATTCTACTCCCCACTTTATCCACATGACTAAAACCCTTCAATATGATGTCTTTGCCTCTAAATACAAATTGAAGTCTAAAGTATCCTTCAAATATTTCATGATGCATTTCAACCATCCAATGAAAGGGACTTGCTCTAGATATGAATTGGCTTAGCACATCCATCAAAAATGCAAGATTTGCCCTTATATCCACCATTGCATACATGAATGATTCTATTGTTGTCTTGTATGGAATGCCTTCCATTTCTTCTTGAATCTCTTCATACTTTTTCTCAAAAAGCTTCAACAACTTGGAATTCACATCAAATGGAGTTTCAATGGATTTGCTCTCTTCTATGTTAAAATGCATGAGTTTTTGTGATTATCGTTTTACTTATTTTGAAAGAAACCTACCAGAATAAATTCATATAGGGGAATTTGAACACAGGAAAAGACCATGTATATGAGTTCCAATTGTTAGGGTCACACAATTAACCGCTACAACTGAATGCTTACAATGTTGAAGAACACTTAACTTTTCCTCCTATTGTTTACTCTCTCATATTAATATGATAACAACCTCGACATCAATTTCAATACCCTGTGTAATTTACAAACACACAAGCATAACCCAAATCTTGGAACGAACAACTTCTAATCCACTGAATTTGATGAAGACAATTCCTTCAATTATAATTCCTCTCCACTGAACTTACAACCTTGCGATAAACAGTGACTGGAAACTTCTATAAAAAACTTCCTAAATCAAACATTGATTCATTAAATCGATTATCTTCACAAGAATCAACACTAACACCAAAGAAACAAGAAAACTAAGAAGAAGAGATAGCACCAAGCTTATTCTTGGCTAATAACTATCACAATCTGGAATTTTCATCTTCTCTCCCATCCTCCTTATACTACCCCAAGATATCAACTCCTATACTACCGATGATAACTATTTTTCCTGACTATTCATCCATTCTACCTATTGAACCACCTTTTCAGTAGTTATCTAACCCTGTTTACACTATACATTATGTATCTACATCCTAAAAATAACTACTTATTCTATATAGCCTGACTTCTAATTGTATAGGGTCCATGCAAATACAATATTGATAAACAATTTTTTTTTTTTTTTTTTTTTTTTTCTTCTTTTTGTAAGTGGATTGTTTAATCTTTTCAATTCCTGGCGTTGGCTCCATTTGGTCTTGTTTCAACACTATATCTTCTTTCGACGACTCATCCTAAATCTCTACCTTTAATTGAGCTGTTAAATCTTCATTATACGCTCCCAATTCTCGAACATGAACTTGCAATTATTGTTGTTGCTTTTGCAATTTCTCCTCCAATTTTTCAATTTTTATTCTCGTTGAGGCAAATATCTGTGGCTAACCAATTTTGACCAAATCACTCTCCAATTTTGTTACTATTTCCTTCAAAACAATAATTTTTGCCTGTAGCTCATCTATTTTGTTTCGATATTCGACACCCAATTGTTTCTTTTTAAGCTCCAATGCCTCCTTCTTCTCTCATTCCATCTTCAACTTAGCGTTCATCTTGTCTTGTTCCAATTTATATGATTTGCGAGTTTGTAGTAATTCTTGCCTTTGATTTTTTAGGATATGTTGAATCCTTTGTTTCTCCTTTGACTAGTTTTCCACTCTCTTATCCAATTCACGCTTCACTCGCATCTTGGATTCTGATTCTACCTTGATGACTTGTTCTTGTTCCTTGATTTTGTAATTTTGCTCCAATATTATTTTCTTGCTCGCTTCTACTTGCCTTTTTAAGCTATCCTCATCTTTGAGCTTATTCACCGTAAGTTGCAGCTAGGAAATTTGATTCAATATAACTTTTTTAAGATTTCATCTTTCCGTTATACCCTGTGGAAACCCTAATTGGTTGCTTTCCCTTGGAATTGGTATTGGTGTCGTCATCTCTATTGTCATCTCTAATTGGTTGAGATTCTTATTTCAATGTATACTCAAGTACTGAGTTTACATAATTTGAACGTAATAGTGAAGCAAAATTCTCCGTCTTCCCATTACCTCTCATTTTTGCATGTATCGTTGTGGCCACAGAAGCTGCCCAATTGAATACCATGCCTTTCAGTGTTCCTATCATGAAAAATAATAATCGCTTCACCATGTAGGTGGTATGCTAATTCAATGCTAACTGCTTCTGAACAAACCGCATCCATTCCATAAGTTTGGACAGAAGTGCCTCCTGTACCTTCCATCCTTGATTTCACTCGAGAGACGACATTCCTCCTTTGAAGTAGCTTCCTCGCCTGAAGTCATTTGATGCATCTCCTCCTACATCAAGCTCTCCGGTTGGTAAATGTAAGACCTTGTGTAAGATATTCTCATCTATTCCAATCAAGACTCCTCTTACCACACTCAAACCATCCTCTAGATCATAATTCTCTATATATTTCGCCACTCGTTTTACATTAATTGGTGGTAGTTTATTCGATCTTTGTAAAAACGTAAATAACTATGTATTTCTAAAATCTTTTTGCCTTTTCAATGACCAACAGATATCTAACTTCATCGGTTACATGTTGGTGATAACTACAAGAGACCGTGATCCCAAATCGCACTTAGACCTCACATTGCAGTGACTTTTTGATCATTTCGGTACTCTCTTTGCTCTTTCTATCAACATTGTGAAAATCAAACTCTCAATACTTCTTCACGCTAACACTATTGCTGATTACTGTCGTAAAGCTTACAATTCAAAGCACAATGTCTAAAATTTGCAACAATGATACCTTCTATGAGTGCCTCGCTCCTAACTGCTTACTCGGGATTCAAATCAAGAATATCTAATCTAGAATATCTTAATCTCACGTCTAACAAGAATGTCTAATTTCTTGACTAGTCAATTTCAGTACCCAAAACTAACCATCAATCGTTTCCTAACTATCACAACCTTTTCAATCTTATCGATTCCCATTCATGCGTAACTAGTTCTCGTTAATGCGTGTTGTAAAGTGGATTCACAGAAAATCTTTCAATTAAATTGAAGCATTAACAAAACCTTCCACCACCCAATATGGCCCATGCAATTATACTTGAAATTTATCGAAAAAGTTGTTAAAGCGGCTATCATAAAGTAGCACCAAATCATTGGGCATAAAATATTTTGACTGTAACATACTGTTGTAATAACTCTTTCTACAACGTTGTGTAGCTTCCATGATCAAGAGAGCCATAGCCCTAGCTTCATCCAATTTCTCCAATTTGACTAACATATATTGAAGAGATTCTTTGTCTCCCATACGTTCATCTAATACAATTTGTAAACTTTGGACCTCCAATTCAATTGGTAGAATTACCTCCTGATCGTATTTCAATTGAAATGGGGTAGAATTGATAGTTACTTTATATGCAATACGGTATGCCCATAAAGTTGCAAACAATTTAGTATCCCAATTGTTTTTTGCTCTTGAAATAGTCTTTGTTAAGATCTTAAATTGGATATCATTGGTCTTTTCTATGTACCCATTGGCTTGTGGATGATAAGGTGTAATTTTGGAATGTTTGATCTCATACTTCGCTATTAATGTTTCAATTATTGTATTAATAAAATGTATTCCGCGATCATTAACCAATTCTTTCAGACAGCCAAAATCAGTGATAATGTTCTCATATAAAAATGTTGCTACTGTATTGGCATTATCAGTTTTCCTTGTCATGGCCTTTGCCCATTTGGTGACATAATTGGTGGCTATTAGAATATAACGTTTATGTCCATTTTGAGAGGCATGTACAATGGGTCCTACAAAGTCAATACCCCATTTTTCAAATGGTGCTTGTGCCAAAATTGGTACCAATGGCATTGCAGAAGTTATAGTAGGGCAAACAAATTCGTTGACAAGGATCACAACGACGAACATATTGGTGTGCATCCGAAAACATTGTTGGCCACCAATACCCAGCCATTAAAGCCTTACGTGTGGTGCTATCACCCGCAAAATGTCCTCCACAACTGTCCAAATGACAGCCTTCCAAAATTGTACGAACTTCACTTTGAAAGATGCAACAGCATAAAATTCCATCCCGCCCTTGTTTGTACAAGGCATCTGCAATCATGGTATATGGCGCACTTTTTAAAATCTGACGCTTCTTTAATTTTTCATTATAAGAAATTACAAAAGTCTAAAACATTAGATATTGGATCGATTCACCATATTTGTGTGTAATGACATCCACAGCAAATAGTTGTGCGTCCAAAAAAACATTGTTTATTGGCTCATTACCCCATATATTAGATAAATGGGATAAATGATCTTCATTGGCATATTTTTTGCCGGATCGAACGTTAATCGTAAAGTTGAATTCCTACAGAAGTAACACCGTCAAGCAAATCATCTGCTCAATTGAGGTTTATTTATCATGTATTTAAGTGCATCATGATCAACGTGGAACACAAATGGGTATCCAAGTAGATAGTGGCAGATTTTTTGTACAGAGTAGATCATTCCGAGGGCTTTTCGCTCGGTAGTATTATAATTTCATTCTGCAGCAACGAATTGTTGGCTCGCATAATATATGAGATGATCTAATTCTTTTTCATCATTTTATCTGTGAATGGATCCAATAGCAACCTTGGACGCATCCATATAGACATGAAACGATTTTGTCCAACAACGTGTTACAAGAATTGGAACAGATACTAATTTTTGTTTCAATTTGTCAAATGCAAAAGTATAGTCTTTAGTCCATATTGAGCTAGATCCGTTTGGTGGGGGTTTCTTTAACAAGTTAATTAATGGTTGACAGATAATTGCAAAAGATTCAATAA